ACCAAGATTACTCCTCCCACTACAGCGCAAATTATCACAACAATCCTGCTATTATCAGAATTCTGGTCATTTTTATCACAGACTTGTGGAGAACTAACAAGTCAGACACAGGACGGCAACTAGCCGAAGCTGCCTGCAGATATTGCACAACCGCAGACTCTGCAAACAGCAGTGGACAAAAAGGCGAAGACAACCTAAGAGCCAGGGCCCAAGCAGATTCCAAGGAAGAAGCAAGCAACGCCTGTCGACACACAAGTTGAGAAGCAAAAATCGCATCCCGCAGGAGCAGCACGAACAGCATCAACGATGTAGACGAAGCACGCACCGCCAAGGGCAAGGCACTAGACCCAGAGGCAGCCCCAAGTTCTTCCACATCCAACTCAAGCCAATCCGAGGACAGCTTGAGGAGGGAGAAGACAGGCCATCTGCCAGGACGTTGGACATGCCCCTGATATGAACCTCATGGAGAACTCAGCAGAAAAGCCACTCGAAGTGACCAGCCTCAAAGAGCCACAGACTGCAGAAACCCCCTGCAGTTCAGACAAAGAACCATCAGAGCACAGTCTGAAAAAGAGTCAAATCATAGAGCCCTGAGTGAGCCTACATCCCGACGGAAGGATGGAGTCCACCGACCCTGGCCAGCCTTGCCAGCACCAGTCACATAGCCTCAGCCAAGAGAGGAGGCATCTGTGAGCATATCGAGGCAGGGCTTCGGAAGACACCAAGGCACCAGACTCCCTTAGAAACAGACGACGGCGAGACTGCAGCCGGAGCAATGCTGCCTAAGGGAGAGATGAGGACACTCTGGGAAACCCAGAGAGGGCCCAGCCACATGTAAACAAACAAGATGCAGCGGCGCTCTGGTGACCAGCCCGAGAAGTGTATGCAGAATAGCAAAATGGCCACCAAAAACCAGCCAAGGCAACGTGCCTGAAGCAATGTTAGCAAAATCACGCCCACAAAAGTAGGAAACCAATGCAGACAGGAGGAGGGAGACAAAAAACCCCAACCCAGAAGGCACAAAAGCCCAAACTCTGCAGGCGGACTCCAGACATATAGGGGCTCCAAACACTGCAGCGAGCTCCATGTACTGCCTCACATCATGGGCACGAGGGTAGACCGCAAACTGGCTGGATTGTATGACACTGCGGACAACCTGTGATACGTGAGCCCTGGAACTGGGAACCAGGGAAAACAGATCCACCCAAAGAGTGTCTTAACATCACAGAACCGGTGGCCCGCAGATAGCGGCGTAAAGCTGCCACCGGACACAACATGGGATGCACCCTTGGCCTAATCAACCAAGCTTCCACCATGAGAGGATCCCACCAGAACCCTGCCATCTCATTCTTCACCAGAAAAGGATGAGACGGCTGCAACCGAACAAAACGACCCCCAGGTCGTTTTGTTCGTTTTGGTAATGGAAGGGGGTTAATAGGGTTGGGGAGGGGGAACCAGCAGCCCACCACTCCAGTTCTTGAACTAATGTGCTGGTGGTTAGATCAGTCACCTCAAGTTCCTGTTCTGGATTTTCACCCTGCATGGCCATTTCAGCTGTGTGTCATGTGGTGGCCAGGTGTCTTATCTTGAGGTTATCTTGAGATGATTTCGGGGCTTTTTAGTGTCCCCGCGGCCCGGTCCTTGACCAGGCCTCCAACCCAAGGAAGCAGCCCGTGACAGCTGACTAACGCCCAGGTACCTATTTTACTGCTAGGTAACAGGAGCATCAGGGTGAAAGAAACTCTGCCCATTGTTTCTCGCCGGTGCCTGGGATCGAACCCAGGACCACAGGATCACAAGTCCAGCATTCTGTCCGCTCGACCGACCGGCTGCCATCTGCCAGGGTGTACATCTGATATTTTCATCTGTCTTAGTGTACAGGAGCTGCATGCGCCAAGGTTGACCTTCTCTAGGTGCTCTGTAAATACTGCCCTTACATGTCAGCATTATCTTACCTAGGGTGTTCGGGAATCACTCCCCGTTTGAGGACTTCATTCCTTGATGTTGTCTTCGGCCTTGGGGTACGTTGGTGATCTAGGGTTTCTGTCTTGCCCTGGGTAAGGGAGTGTTATTGGCTGGGTGGGGTGCACTGCAGCTGGCGCAACTAGCTTTACTTCAATGCAGCGGCTGATGACTGCCAGTTTGTTTGTTTGTTGTGTGTCTTCAGGGCTTTTAGTTTTTATGTACAATTCAGATAGCTTCAGGGAGCCTCTGTGTGGTAGGCGCTGCGACAGATCCAGCTTCCTTCGAGCTGACTGATCCGGCTCCATTCGGACTGCTCCCCGTGGTTCTTTGTCTCACAACCAGCTGGGGTCTCTTCGGCTGGTTGCTTCAGGTAGCTCTTTTGCCAAATTCTCGGGGTTTAGCTCTCCATGCTGTTCACATTCTGGGAGTCCCAGAGCTGCCTTCCAGAGGCACCCTTGTTTCTGAGTAATCCTTGAGGATGTTGTTTAGTTTCTATTTTTATTTTTCTGCTTTTCTCTTCAGGGGATTTGTTTAACAATGGGATGCCCTGACCATTCCTCAAATGTGGTACAGTATGCAGAGTTTGGAAGGTGCACAGCAAGTACATGCTTTTAATTTCGGAGTTACGTCCTCTTTGTTTTGTTATATGGTTGCTGGGGCCACTATCAAGCTTTCTGTGGGGAGCCCCATCAGCTTCGTGAAGCTGTCCAAACTGATATCCAAACTAAGGGGAGCCGGTCGGCCGAGCGGACAGCACGCGGGACTTTTGATCCTGTGGTCCTGGGTTCGATCCCAGGCGTCGGCGAGAAACAATGGGCAGAGTTTCTTTCACCCTATGCCCGTTACCTAGCAGTAAAATAGGTACCTGGGTGTTAGTCAGCTGTCACGGGCTGCTTCCTGGGGGTGGAGGCCTGGTCGAGGACCGGGCCGCGGGGACACTAAAGCCCCAAAATCATCTCAAGATAACCTCAAGATATGTGTTATATTAGTTTGGGGTCATCAGTCACAGGAGTTCTTATGCCTACTGGGAACCACGAGCCAGAAACTGGTTCTCCCCAGAGAGGCGCAGGGGGCAATAAACTTATAAAGAAAACTTATAGGGAAAAACTGCAGCATGACCCCCCCCTCCCAAAAGCATGAGAAAATGGAAATCCAGTTCAAAGGCAGACTGGAAAAGTCCCTAGGCACAAGGGAACCAAGGCAGAAGTACAATTTGAAAAAAAAAAAAAGTCAAGCCATATTATAATCAATGTCAAACAACATCAAAAAGAAATCTCTGGTGCTGTCTGCTGTTGTTAAACAGTGCCAGGAAAGAAAACCCTGAAACAGCCAGAATGGATAGCAACAGTCAATATCCAAACAAGACTTACACCATGACAGGGAGTAAATACTAAAACAAGAAACCTCCCCTGCACTGAGCTAAGAGTCTCAACAAACAACCCAGACAATGAAAGCTTAACTATTAGCCACTGTACAGCTCAACAAAGTGAAAGGTAGACATCAATACTAAACGAGTTGCTTGTTCCTTGATCTACTACCGACAGTTTCCTAAACATTAATAGGCAGTCTTGGGACTTCTAATTTTTGCTTGCAGGATGAAGTTGAGAGGAATGAGTCATTCCTTTGTACTATAGCAAGCAAGTGCTCTTAGTGATAGCTTCAGTTAGGTTCATCACTGTCTTCCTGCCATAGTGACAGACTTAAAAAGACCAATACTATGATGTGGATAAGCCTTGATAATGTGGCAGGTGATGCATCTTGGGTAGACCATATAGAAGCTGGCTAAGGAAGCATCCAAGGGGTTTAGCTCATAAAGGAGGTCTTTTTGGGGATTCACTATTGAGGCCCAGAGAAAAGGAAACTAAAAAATAAATTACTAAAGCTAAATGCAGATAGGGATGCAACACCCCCCATTAATCATGGTAAAGTGCTCACTACATCTAAGACATAAGACAGGCTGAAAGCAACTGTTCCAACCTTGGACTTGGGAGTGATTGAATGTCGCCGTCGACTAGAAGTTTGCCAAAAATATACATAGCAGTATTAAAATATTAGACAAGCATTGTTTATGTCCTATCATATCAGAGTCTCTGTTTAATATTCTGTCAGTAAAAGTTTTCTTTATGTAGCCTTTTTTAAGTTTGATCAAAGTACATGCTTACAAACACTACCACAACGCAAGTTAAAAACTAACGTCTGAATAAATACTATTGCCGTATGTGTGACAACAACTGTAATGCCTTTGAAAGCTTTTCAGCGGTCTTCAGTTTCATTCAAAATGCTACAAGACAATTATTTTGCAATAAAAATTAGCAGACTACAATTCCAACTACTATACCATTTTATTAATCTGTTTACTATAATTTCTATCCTATATGTATTATTTATAATGCCATAATTATCATCTGAATTACTTGATTATCATCACAAAAATTACTTGCTATGAGCTGCCTCTAACATGGCACATGAGTAAATTAATGAACACAGTATCTCAAACATTAATGTGGAATTATGATAACCTTAACAAAATATGCAAGAAAATCATATCTGAAACAACTGCATGACTGCTTTTTCAACCTAACAATAAATTTAAAATTCTCTCAACACAATGATTTCATAATGATCATATAACCTTAGTTAAAATAAATTGTACATATATAACTGATTTTGCTTTTTGTTGTACTGCATTAAGAACATGAATCGTACAATGACCAAACCACACATCAGAAAATGAAAAAAATGATGATGCTTCAGTCCGTCCTGGACCATTATCAAGTTGTGGGACTTGAGAATGGTCCAGGACGAGCCAAAACGTCGTCGTTTCTTCATTTTCTGCTGTCTGGTTTGGTCATCATATCTTCAGCCATGTTACTGTGACTCATCATTTGCACATGAACTGTACGTTTTCCAAATAAATATATGTAAGAATGTCTTATATATTAATATTTAATTTGGTAATATAGTACATATGAATTATGAATGAGCATCTCTTAACCTATACTTAATTTGTCTTCAAGCTATTCTACTTCACATACCTTGGTAGATGATTTTCAGACTGCGTCTTGGGTAAGGTTGCAGTTGATGTGGGTCTCTTAGGATCACGCGGTGTTGTTGATGGTGTGGTAGGAAGTGAAATAGTTGAGCGTGAAAGAGATTTACCCATTTCTATTCCCCCTGCAGCCTCGCTACTGTATTTTATATTTGTATACTCGCGACCCAGCTGCAAGCTCTTCTGCTCTGCAGAGATACGTTGCTGCACAGTTTCTATATGGTGCTGGACGGCCAGGTAAACAAACTTATATTGTGCTTCTGTCTGTACCATTCCAGAACGCTGTGAACGGACCATTTGGATTGTACGCTGTATGTCAATTTCACAATCAAGACCTGCAACAAGATGGGAATTTTTATATAACCTATAACAGCAAAACTGAATACTAAACAAGATAATAAATAAAATAGAACACCGAGTATAATAAAATGCCCCTTTATGTACAGCACTTAACAGCCATCATCTAACATCACTGGCATGACCATAACATAATAAACATGCTAGACATTGTGGTAACAATCTCAACTCAGTGAAACATCACTGGCATGACCATAACATAATAAACATGCTAGACATTGTGGTAACAATCTCAACTCAGTGAAACATCACTGGCATGACCATAACATAATAAACATGCTAGACATTGTGGTAACAATCTCAAGTCAGTGGAGTCCGGTACCCTTGCAGATCATCTTGTCCCTTCTAATGGAAGGGAAGTTGTGGGGACCAAAAATAAATCCACTACCCGAGTGCACCTTCATGAGAATACCAAGAGAGACACCTAAAACTCTTAACCTTGCTTTGAGCAATGTTCGGGAACCTTAACTCATCAAGCAAACCCTGGAACGAGCTAAGCAGTCGCTAATCTCACACCCCAATCACCACAAAGTGGTGTCCGATAAACTCAAAGCCATGGGCAAGATAGACATTTTACTTTCAACTCCAAGTGCTACCTGCTGACACAGGGTAGATGAGGCATGTGGGCAGGAAAGGAAAGCTACTGTGGTGCTACCAAGGGGAGTTTCATTACACTCAATTCACCCAATCACTTGGACCTCACTTCTAGCAGGTCAGTATTCAATTCCCGATGGTTTAAGTGGTTAGGCATCATTCCTTCGCTCCATCCTATCCCAAATCCTTGTCCTGATATCCCAAGTGCTAATATAGTTATACTGGCTTTGAGCTGTCTCCTCAACACTACCTCCTCAACACTTAACACACTATTTCTGGGTTAGTACCCTCTGCAGCTACTCTCAACTTCCTCAAAATGGTGCCCCAGTAGGAAATAACCATCTTCCATAAACCTTGAGATACTGTCTGTCCTGCTGATTTGTCAAAGGGAGGGGGGGAGTGTTCATCCAAAACACTAAACATATTGAATTTTATACTAGCCAACAAGAAAATGCAACCTTGTACTACAGAAGAAAAGCCAAATTCGATTAAGCCCAATTCTAATTTAGTAACACAATTCTGGCCTTGCAGCAGGAATAACATAAAATTCTGTCTAGCTTATGCTTTAGTTAAATGACATTAGGACAAATGTCTTGAGTGATATAATTATGCTTAAGGTTATTAAATCGAGAGATAGTCTGTAGCAATTATGTGGAGAGTAATATAGTTGCTCCAAGTTTTTAGAAGTTATGTTGCAGGTAATTAAATGTTCCTGTTAATTCCACATAATGTCCCTAAAAATTCCACATTCCAAGAGGTTTTCCAATAAACCTATATGCATTAATTATAATTTATCCTTGTTCCCAAGATTTCCAGGAACCACTTAGGACAGCCAAAGTAACCAGCAAAATGATGGTTAACTTGCCAAGTCAGGTGAAGCTTGCAACATAAGCCATCAAGAACATAACATCGTCAGTCTAACTTGAATAGTGGTTCAGTGAAAAATGCTTGGAATATATTGCGGATCTTCAACACTGTTAACAGTCGCTACCACACAATGTAACTCTCTCACAAGACACTACAGCCTGGCTTGAGAGCAGGGAGCTTATTACAGCCATACTCACGCTACCAGCTCTCATCCCGCATTGGAGCTCTCTACCCTTGACCTCACTCAAGCTCTCTGGTCCAAGCTCCAGGCCTAACACAAGCATGCTCGTCTCAGCATCAGTACATTTCCAACATCAAGACTGCTGTAACCAAGACTACAGTATATTAAATATGAAACCAGTGTTGAAGGAAATGAAACAGCATTTTCTAGGTGAGCCCATGAGACTTCCTGGAGCTATCAGGCTATTATATGATATATTAGACCAGGGCATTAGTCTATGGAGTTCGACCTACCGGGGACCATGAGCCAGAACCTGGCCCTCTCAAAAAGGTTGCACAGAGCAATGGCCCTAGAAAACCCCCCTGTGGTTGGGGTTTTCCTTATCTGCCATCGACCAGGGTTAGGCACCCAGAAAGGTAGGCATAACAAAAACCCCACATAGTAAGTATATAAAAAAAAAAAAAAAAAAAAAAAAGTCAGAACTCCTTCCAATCTCAAAGAAACAAGCAACCGTCACACTCCACTGCTGTGCTGCTTTTCCGTGCAGCCCTCCCCGCCCCGCACCAGCTACCCAGTACACCACAAGAATGCACAGGAGCAGGAGCGTTAACCAAGTAACGGGCAGCCAGGACCCTGTTCGACTTCCAAAATCCCCGCACCCGAATATCAACCCAGGACATGTTGCCAAATATGGCAGCCAATGCAGCAAATTTCCTAACGCCATGAGCACAAGGATAGACTGCAGGCTGACTAGAATTAATAACCCTGCGCTCGACCTGGGAAACCCGAGCCTTGGAACAAGGAACGAGGGGAAACCATATCAACCCAAACTGTATTCCCAGCTACCAAAGCAGAGAATTTATTTCCTGCGCACTGGAAGGGTGCCATATTTGGAAGCCGTGCAGTTGAGGGGTTACTTCCAGCTAAAACTAATTTATTAGCTCCAGCAATATTTTTTATACTTGCTGGGTGGATATTGAATAACTGTGGACCTCTGATGTTGATCCAGTGTTCTCTGATTATGCCTATGATGCCCTAGCTCTTCACTGGTTCTATTCTGCATTTCCTTCTATATCTTTCACTCCAGTAAGTTGTTATTTTACTGTGTAGATCTGGGACCTGGACTCCAGTATTTTCCACGTGTATATTACAGTATTTGATATCTCTCGCGTCTCCTTTCTAGAGCATTTTGAGCTTTGAGATGATCCCAACAATTTAGGTGCTTTATCGTATCTATGTGTGCTGTGTATGTTCTCTGTATTCCCCTCTACTTCACCAATCTCTCCTGCTTTGATGGGTGAAGTGAGTATAAGCAGTACTTAAGGTGCGACAGCATCAGTGATTTGAATAGTATGAGCATTGCGATGGGATCCCTGGATTTGAAGGTTCTCATAATCCATTCTATAATTTTTCTAGCTCATGCAATATTTGCTTGGTTATGCTCCTTAAACATTAAGTCATCAGGAATCATTATTCCCAAATCCTTTACATATTGCGGTCCTACTATGAGCAGATTCGATTGGTTTGTACCCTGTATTTTGTTTCAGGTCTTCATTTTTACCATACCTAAGTACTGTACCTGAAATTTATCACTGTTAAACATCATGTTGTTTTCTGTTGTACAGTCAAGAACTTTATTAATATCCCCTTGTTGTTTTTCAATGTCTTCTACGTAAGTAATTTTCATGCTGATTTGTGTGTCCTGTTTCTGGTAAACATTTTCTACACATCAGTTAGAACGTTTATATTGACATACAGTACATAAATGAATATATATTAACAAAAACTGAATCTCTCCAATTCAACTGTTAGGAAATAATATTACTATTGCTTACCTTGTCTCTTGATCTGATCAAGAATCATGTCAATAACAATGAAGGTTCCTGTTCTTCCAATACCCGCTGAGCAATGGACAACCACAGGCCCAGCTGATGGTATATCTTCTTGCCGTTTGTTAACATCGTGCAGGAAATTCAGAACACACCCAGGATCGGACGGAACACCGTGGTCAGGCCAAGCCTTATAGCAAAATGAAGGACAGTCTTACTAGTGAAATCTTTAATAAACTACTGTACTGAATACTGCAGAATCCCCCACACCCTTATTTAAAGAAATATTTTGCCTTTTATATTGCTTATACATGTACACATGAAACCAATGAGCTTATTAAAAAACTGAATTTACTTTTAATTGACAATTCATAAACTCACTGTTTATTCAGTGTTGAATGTAATGATTCAATGTAATGTTTATTCAATATTGAATGTAATGAAATGCTTATTTCTGTTGTTAGAGCCGTAGTGGCTTCCTGAAACTATCTTTCTGAGATTGCTCCGATCTGCTAGGTCCCATCACTCTTGGAATTCTGTTTGGTTTAAATGGAACTAGATCCAGAACCTGGCCTAATCTCATTGAGGCACCAAAAGTGAGTGATATCCTGCTATCCCACCAGAAAAGCATCCATAAGTCCATGGAACCTTACAGACCATTGCCAGTTTCCCAAGGAACAAAGCCTCGAAAGCTGCCAAACAACTCCCCAAACAAAGTAAAGAAATGATCGAATCTCTCAAAACTAGCTCAAACCCTCCAGTACCAACCCATTGCTACTAGGGGGGCCCAGAGCCCCAACCCACCAACCGTCCCAAGTGAATTCTGGAGCAAATGAAAAACCAACCACCACCAACCAACGAGCATGGAAGCGAGGGTGCGAGTCAGGAAGCAAACGTTGTTGCTCCCTAAAGCTAACTAACCACAGAGAAGAATCAGACGAGGAGAGACAGCAATTACTATGCCAAAGGAAACGCAACAAGCCAAAAATACAGCCTAAAACAACACAGGCACGAATGGGCCCAGGGACACTGACTATATACTGGGCTCATAACACCTTGTTAAGACTTCCAAAACTCCTGCACCCTGGACATATTGGAAAAAGACAGCCACAAATACTGCATATTTACGAATATCATAGCCATAGACTTAATGGGCTACTTATTAACCCTTGTGTGGCTCTGGGCTATTTAGCATGTAAAAAAAAAAAATCTAAACCTATTAATTTGTGTTCTCTGATCATGGGAAAAATAATAAAAAATCGTAAATGGCATATATTGCCCGCTATAGGGTGGGGAAGTCTGGCAAAAAAACCAGCGTTGAATGTAATGAAACGCCATTTTCTGGGTGAGCCCCGGAGGCTCCCTGGAGCTTATCGGGCTAATGTATGTTATGTTAGACCGGGACATTAGCTATGGAGTTCAGACCTACCAGAGACCAGCGCCAGAACCTGGCCCCTTCAGAGAGGTTTCAGGGAGCCATGGCCCGGGAAAACCCCATTATGGTTGGGGGTTTTCCTAATCTGCCATCGACTGGGGTTAGGCACTCAGAAAGGTAGGTGTAACAAAACAAACCCCACATGGTAACAGTGGACACCATGGGGCCCCACTGGTCAGACCCCAGAGCATCAGCAGGAGGAACAGACTCGAATGCCTTTGCAACTATCCTGGACAGGGCAACCCCCGAAACTGCCGAGTTTCAGAAACCTCTAAACCCTGCCCCGACTCCGAAGTCCTCAGACGCTGAAGGGCCGGAAGCAGGGAGGGGTGGGGGGGGAGACCAAATGAACCACCGAAGGGCCGGAAGCAGGGAGGGGTGGGGTGGGGGGACCGAATGAACCACCGAAGGGGAAGAACAAGGAAGCGTGGACGGAACCAAGGCCCAAGCGACCAACACCCCCAAATCTGAGTCCCTATAGGCAAAGCGGGGCAGCCTCGGGGCGTCCGGGAAAGCAACAACCCGAGCGCGTTGCAATAACCTAAACCTATCCTGCAATGCGTGTGATGCCTGCACCCGAAGAAAATCATCATTAGACTGGGTGAATTGAGTCACAAACAAGCAACAGAGCTCGCAGGACTCAGGGTTGAATGTGTCACTGACCCAACAGGCAGCATGACGGGAGGCAAAAACAAGGAGTGTCGCCCTGAGACAAGGAGACAGTGCAACCCTCAAAGTCGCACAAAGCGAGAGGGGATGCAAGAGTCTCCTCCATTGGACTCGAGTGCCCCCGCGGGGTTTTCCAGGCCTCCTAGACTGGGTCTGCTAAGGGTTATCCCAGGCAGGGTACTGCTAACCGGCGCCCCAAACTACCAAGCAAACTGCTGAAAGCTGAACCCACGGCACGTGTCCACTCACGAGGGCAAAGCAGGGGGGGGGGTGCCACTACACAAAACAACCCTATTATAAGGAGGGTGGGAGAACACAAGGCAGATCCCCCTCCGCCAGGTAAAAACAAAAAGAAAAACCACGCAAGTGGACAACGTACCCAGAGGGAACAGAGCTGGCCACTGTTATAGGTGAAAACTAGCTATGCAGTACCCCGTGCCCCACCAGCGCAATAATTATCACTTACCCCAAGGCAAACAAGGGATGAAAACCCCCACACACTCGGGGCGGCCAAACGCCAAGCAGCGAAAGGCCAACAGAGGTAAACCCAAGGCGACTTGTGGAAGGGAACCCTAAGCCCCAAGGGCAGTATTTACAGGGCACTCAGGGAAGGAGACCCTAAGCACATGCAGCCCGAGTACCTGAGAATATTACTCCCAGCTCACACGACCACTGTAAGAGCAGCACTGAAAACAATTAACAGCACTGAGAGAAGACTGGAGCTGGAGCCACACAACTGTGCACAATCCCATCAGCCGAGAAACTGGGGTGAGGATCGCCAGCGCGGGGGTCTGGGGCTCCCCCTTCCCCTCCCGGAGAGGGGGGAGCTGCTCAGACATGCAGTGCGGCTCATGTGATGTCATGCTTGTTTGCTCGTTTTTCTTTTGGGGAGTTCTGTCCACTCGTTTGATGATTTTCGTTGTTAACCAGAATAGGGATTTGTTTTGTGGCGCTTACCTTTCTGGGTGCCTGTCCCAGTCGATGGCAGATATAGAATGCTCCAAATCACATGTGCATTTCTATGGGCCATTGCTCCCCGTGCCTCTGTGAGGGGGCCAGGTTCTGGCTCGTGATGCACGGTAGACTGAGAACTCTACCCACATCGACTGATGCAAAATAGTCAGGATATCCATATCAGCCATGGATAACTCCGAGGAGCCGTAGGGGCTCTCTCCAGAAAACATAATATGTAGAGTGGCACGCGCCCCCATTCACCATGATATCACAGATAGTGTGGTGGAGTGGTTAACCCTTAAATTGCGCATCGCATCATATGATGCTTTGACCGACTTGCAGTAAATTGCACATCGCATCATGTGATGCTTTGGAGTACTACGCAAGATTTAAACGGCCCGCGGATACACGGGGTTCACCACACCTGAACCCCGTGTAGGTCCACACCTGAACACCTGAGATGGTTGGGTTGACTGCATCTATCTGGACCTAAAAAGGCTTTTGACAGAGTTCCACATAAGAGGTTGTTCTGGAAACTGGAAAATATTGGAGGGGTGACAGGTACGCTTCTAACATGGATGAAGAATTTTCTGACTGATAGAAAAATGAGGGCAGTGATCAGAGGCAATGTATCGGACTGGAGAAATGTCACAAGTGGAGTACCACAGGGTTCAGTTCTTGCACAAGTGATGTTTATTTTCTACATAAATGATCTACCAGTTGGTATACAGAATTATATGAACATGTTTGCTGATGATGCTAAGATAATAGGAAGGATAAGAAACTTAGATGATTGTCATGCCCTTCAAGATGACCTGGACAAAATAAGTATATGGAGCACCACTTGGCAAATGGAATTTAATGTTAATAAATGCCATGTTATGGAATGTGGAATAGGATAACATAGACCCCACACAACCTATATATTATGTGAGAAATCTTTAAAGAATTCTGATAAAGAAAGGGATCTAGGGGTGGTTCTAGATAGAAAACTATCACCTGAGGACCACATAAAGAATATTGTGCGAGGAGCCTATGCCACACTTTCTAACTTCAGAATTGCTTTTAAATACATGGATGGCGATATACTAAAGAAATTGTTCACGACTTTTGTTAGGCCAAAGCTAGAATATGCATCGGTTGTGTGGTGCCCATATCTTAAGAAGCACATCAACAAACTGGAAAAGGTGCAAAGACATGCTACTAAGTGGCTCCCAGAACTGAAGGACAAGAGCTACGAAAAGAGGTCAGAGGCATTAAATATATGCCAAAACTGGAAGACAGAAGAAAAAGAGGTGATATGATCACTACATACAAAATAATAACAGGAATTGATAAAATCGATAGGGAAGATTTCCTGAGACCTGGAACTTTAAGAACAAGAGGTCATAGATATAAACTAGCTAAACACAGATGCCGAAGAAATATAAGAAAATTCACTTTCGCAGAGTGGTAGACGGTTGGAACAAGTTAGGCGAGAAGGTGGTGGAGGCCAAGACCGTCAGTAGCTTCAAAGCGTTATATGACAAAGAGTGCTGGGAAGACGGGACACCACGAGCGTAGCTCTCATCCTGTAACTACACTTAGGTAATTACCCAAGTGTAATTACCTTCATCAGGGCTCTTGTAAACAGACTCCATTTTTTTTTTAAATCGTGGGCCAAATTCCCGGGTGTTAGGGGCCTCAGTATTGAGTGAGTTACCAAGCCTGACGCACACAGCATGAGCTCACAGCACTGCTGTTCAGCTTGTGACCACAGCATCACCTAAAAATGCCATAATATACTTGTTCATGCTATTATGTAGCGATGATATTATTACAGAAGACCCCTGACTGTGATAAAACTGACCAGGGTTCTGATAATAACAGGATTGTGGTGATATTTAGCTCTGTGCTCCATGGAGGGAGGAGTAATGCTGTGGGAGGGAGGGTAGTGGCATTGTCTTCTGACTGTGTGTGGCCACGTTTTATTGACTGCACTCACCATACCAGCTTAGTGGTTCGCTATGGTGAACACAAATGTAGATACTTATATATAACGTGTGTATAGAGGGTATAAACAACAAGAGGAGTAGGTTGGGAGCCGCCATTTTGGTGAGGGCAGTGGCGTCGTCTGCACGATTTATCATGTTTACTGGTGACCATGATGGTCTTTGGGCACCATACCAGTTTACTTGTACAAGTATGATGACTAAAACAGGTAGATATTTATATATAATGTGTGTATATAGCATAATAACACCACAAACAGTATTGTTGGAGGAGAAATATTAGTGCGTCTGGCCTTGAGGGCGGCAGCCAGCTGACTGTGTGAGTAACTACGTCTTTGTGCCTTTACTCACCATACAAGCTTATATGTACAGTTATGGTGAACAAAACATGTAAATACTTATATATAACGTCTGAATGTAAAAGCAAAAACAGTATGGTGGGTGGAGAATGGTGGCAAGTCAGGTGAGGTAAGGGAGGGAGGGAGTGGCAGCCAGTGGCGGGCTGCAACTGCCACTCAGCATACCAACTTAGTGGTTCGTTATGGTGAACACGAATGTAGATACTTATATATAGCATTTGTATGTAGTGAATAAAAGCAAAAACAGTATTGTGGGAGGAGAATGTGGGTGAGTCAGGTGACTTGAGGGAGGGAGGAAGTAGCAGCCAGTGGCAGGCTGCCACTGGCTGCCATTGCCACTGCCACTCAGCATGCCAACTTAGTGGTTCGTTATGGTGAACACGAATGTAGATACTTATATATAGCGTCTGTATATAGTGAATAAAAGCAAAAACAGTATAGTGGGAGGAGAATGTGGGCGAGTGAGGTGTTGAGGAAGGGCATGAGTGGCTGGCTGGTACACGCCGGTCACTCCTCGTTACTTTTTGACTCATAATAGCAACTTAGTGGTTCGTTATGGTGAACAAAACATGCAGATACTTATATGTAACCTGTGTATATAGTGTAATAACCGACAAAGTATTTGTTCACTGTTTGATGAACATAATTGAATCACCAATATGCACACCATATTTTTGAGTAGAGCGATGATTCACCCATTTATTATATAAATATATCACACTACACACTATTGAATAATATTACAGCAAAGAAAACTACGAAAAATCAATCAGAGACATTGAAATAATTAGGTAATTATCTCAATGTGGCAACTCCGGCCTGACAGCTGGCAAGCAACAGAATGCCTGGGACGCATGCTGAGTCAGCGCCTGTTTTTGCCAGACTTCCCCGCCCTACAGCGGGCAATATATGCCACTTACGATTTTTTATTATTTTTCCCATGATCAGTGAACACAAATTAACAGGTTAGGAAGAAAAAATATTTTTTTTTTTTTTTTGCATGCGCCTGTGGGTGTCAAATGGTATATAGCCATGCGCCATTTAAGGGTTAATACAGTATACAGTCTTACTCCTCCATATGACCCATTTGCTCAATCACATTAACACTTTCGCGCTCTCCGCAAAGGTCACTCAGCCAACCGAATGTGCGCGCTGCGTTTTTATCGCTTAAGCATAAAAACAAAAATGTGTATACTCTTTTTACTCTTCTGACCTTAGTTCTCATGCTACGTATTTCATTTTGGTACCAACGTGTTCGCAATAAAATTCTCTAGAAGAACATTAGTAAAAAAAGTCACGAAACGTATAGGGATACCAGCACCAAATAAATAACTACGAAGATGACTCGCCGTGAGCGCCCATCAGCAACAAAATGTTTTTACTCTTGGGATTGTAATCACCTCCACACTTGTCCTACAGCGTTAATTTTGGTATCAATGGACTCGCAATGAAATTCCCAACACGGTGATATGAATATAAGCGTAGAATAATGATGCGGCCCGCCCACAAGAGTGTGGGAAGTGGTGAAATTGTTACCCGGTATCGGATCGGTGACAGGACGACGCACGGCGCTTTGAAAGTTTATACTTATTTCACTCTCATGACATTAATTTTCTATGTACGTCATTCATTTTTGTGTCAATGTGTTCACAATAGAATGTTCTATGTGCCCATAGGTAAAAAATATCAACAAAGCGTAAGTTAGAATAGCGCCAAATATAAAACAACGCTGGAACATATCAGTGAGCGTCAAACACACACGAAATGTTTTTACTTTTGTTATGTTTGTCAAGTTTATACTTGTTGCACACAGTTATTTTTGGTTGTATATTGATCGGAATAAAATTCCCTAAACAGACATATGCATATAATACATGATATGGGGGAAGCATTACCAGTATAAACGGCTAAAGTCACCCACCTGCAACCCGTTTGGGACAAAATACCATTTGATCGAAGTTATCCACACCTTTCATGAACTTATTGTACCATGCAGCCTAGTGGTGAGAAAGAGAGCCTCATAGCGCGCAGTTTGAAACAAACCCAAAGTAAATCGGATAAAAATTGAATTTTATACAAATATTTTAAAAGAGGACTCGACTTTATGTCCACTATGCGTTAGCGTTAGACGAAACGGGACGCGCCGATGCGTCCGGATAGCGCGAAAGTGTTTATGAATTACATTTTGGTATTCAGACTTCATTGTCTATGACAAAGGCATAAACTCTATGTAATATGTAATCTTTAATATGTGTTTCATTTAATGCTCCAAACATTGCATTTCACTAATAGGAGGCTTTTACGAATAGGCCTTTGTTTCTCATTGCTGATTTAAAGCCTCATGTGTTTGAAAATATGTTGACATTTCCACTTTGTGCATTGTCTGAGCTTTGATAGGTTTATTACACCTGCATCCTAATCCTCGGTGTGCACTGGTTTTCACCAGCTTATTGCAGGTCACTTGCCAAGTAGTGAAACTTAATCAGCTAATTTCCTACCCTTGAACCTATGTGGTTTGGAAGTTTGCTGTCATTATGCCCCTCTTCTTGTACACGTCTGCTGTCTACATCCAGCATATTCATTTGCCACAACGTACAATATGCTACATTTTAATATAACCAGAAATGTACGAATCCAAGCAACCTACCAAACTTAACCTACTAATGCACAGAAAATGTGGATATCTGTGAGCTGCTGCTTTTTTTTTATAATTCTTTGTATATCTACGGAGGAGACTAAAATGGATAAACTGAGATGTATTAGTTGAGAGAACAGGTTGCTACTTCGTCTCTTCATATGGATCCCCCACAGTCCATACTCTTCCAGTTATTGCTCCGAGACTTTATTCCTGCTTCACCTAAGTGCAGTGCTCCAGAGCTCAGCTGCCCCAGGTGAGCTCACATCAGGATTTCTTAACATCTTCCATTTCTTTATGTTACATTATTATGTAGGCAGGAGTCCTGGTGTGAGGTACCACGGGGAGAATTATTAAGGAGGCTACTGAGAGGATACCCCAGAAAAAGAGCACCGCATGATATGAAATGTATCCTTGTAAACTATAGCACGTATGAACTGATATTATCATACTTAACTCATTCTTAACCTCAAGATCTCAAGATAACCTTCAAGGTATAATTTTATGTACATGTTCTAATAGTGAAATTTAACTTACAGTGAAATGATAATGAAAAACTTTTCTCTCGGGCAGATCATCTTTGACAGTGAGGAGGAATTCTCGTAGTATGTAGTCATTGTTTGAGCTTTCAGAAACATTGCGAACTGTGATACGGCCATATTCCTTACAAGAGCCCTCTTCGGGCCAGTAACGGCCACATTTATTCTGAAAAAAATAATATGAAATTATATTTTTGAATACACAATTTCAAATGTAGATATGATAAGAGCCCAGTAGGCTCAGGAATCTGTACATCAGTTGACTGACAGTTGAGAGGTGGGACCAAAGAGCCAAAGCTCAACCCCCCCAAGCACAACTAAGTGACTACTCACATACACATCACACATACATGTATGTGCATGCACACATAATTCGATACACAGTATTATATGTATATATGATAAGAAAACAAAGTGAAAAGGAGTCAAATCTACTTTGAAATTATGACAATTTAAAAGTGAGGGTAAAGAGCAAATGCCCGACCCTGCAAGCACAACTAGGCGAGCACACGGGGAAAATTGAGTGGGACACCGGTGGAAATTGAGTGCCCAAATGAACCACAGAGATATTAGAAAGAATTTTTTTAGTGTCAGAGTGGTTGACAAATGGAATGCATTAAGCAGTGATGTGGCGGAGGCTGACTCCATACACAGTTTCAAGTGTAGATATGATACGAGCCCAGTAGGCTCAGGAACCTGTACACCAAAGGGCTGGCGTACCGAAAGGGAAACTATGGGGAGATGAATAAATTCCTAAAGGATATACCATGGGACACAGAACTCAGAACTAAGTCCGTACAAGACATGATGAACTATGTCACCCAAAAGTGTCAGGAGGCGGTAAACAGGTTTATCCCGGCCTGACAGGAAAAAACTGAGAAGCAAAAGAAGAATCCGTGGTTTAATAGGGAATGTATGAAAGCAAAGGAGCTGAACAAAAGGGCATGGAGGAACTTCCATAATAACATAACACCAGAAAGTAGAGAGAGATACCAGAGAACCAGGAATGAATATGTTAGTGTGAGAAGAGCAGCTGAGAAAAGGTATGAAAATGATATAGCTAACAAGGCCAAGATCGAACCAAAGCTACTACACAGTCACATCAGGAGGAAGACAACAGTGAAGGAACAGGTGATGAAACTTAAAATGGGTGAGGACAGGTACACAGAGAATGACAAAGACGTGTGTGAAGAACTCAACAAAAGGTTCCAGGAGGTCTTTACAATAGAACAAGGAGAGGTCACGGCGCTAGGAAAGGTGGCAGCAAACCAGGTGACCTTGGAAGGGTTCGAAATTACAAAAGATGAGGTCAAGAGGCACCTATTGGAGCTAGACGTGAGAAAGGCTGTTGGGCCGGACGAAATCTCACCATGGGTATTGAAAGAGTGTGCAGGAGCACTTTGTTGGCCACTGTCCATAGTGTATAGTAAGTCACTGGAAACGGGAGACCTACCAGAAATATGGAAGACGGCTAATGTAGTCCCAATATACAAAAAGGGTGAAAGACAAGAGGCACTGAACTACAGGCCAGTGTCCTTAACTTGTATACCATGCCAGGTGATGGAGAAGATCATGAGAAAAAACCTAGTAACACATCTGGAGAGAAGGGATTTCGTGACAACCCATCAACATGGGTTCAGGGAGGGTATATCTTGCCTTACAGGCTTAATAGAATTCTACGATCAGGTGACAAAGATTAAGCAAGAAAGAGAAGGATGGGTGGACTGCATTTTTTTGGACTGACGGAAAGCCTTTGACACAGTACCCCATAAAAGGCTGATGCATAAGCTGGGGAAACAGACTGGAGTAACTGGTAGGGTGCTCCAGTGGATAAGGGAGTACCTAAAAAATAGGAAGCAGAGTTACAGTGAGGGGTGAGACCTCAGATTGGCATGAAGTCACTAGTGGAGTCCCACAGGACTCTGTACTCGGACCTATTCTGTTTCTGATATACGTAAATGATCTCCCAGAGGGTATAGACTCATTCCTCTCAATGTTTGCTGACGACACCAAAATTATGAGAAGGATTAAGACAAAGGAGGACAGCTTGAGGCTTCAAGACGACCTGGACAAGCTGCAGGAATGGTCGAACAAATGGTTGTTTGAGTTTAACCCAAGCAAATGTAATGTAATGAATATAAGTATAGGGAGCAGGATACCAGATACAAGGTATCATTTGGGAGATGAAATACTTCAAGGGTCAGAGAGAGAGAGAAAGACCTGGGGGTTGATATCACACCAGACCTGTCCCCTGAAGCTCATATCAAGAGGATAACATCAGCGGCATATGCCAGGTTGGCTAACATAAGAACAGCCTTTAGAAACTTGTGTAAGAATCTTTCAGAACATTATATACCACATATGTCAGACCAATCCTGGAGTATGTGGCTCCAGCATGGAGTCCATATCTAGTCAAGCATAAGACTAAACTGGAAAAGATTCAAAGGTTTGCCACCAGACTAGTACCCGAACTGAGGGGGTATGAGCTACGAGGAGAGACTACAGGAATTAAACCTCACATCACTGGGAGACGGAAGAGTTAGAGGGGACATGATCATCACATACAAGATTCTCTGAGGAATTGATAGGGTAGATAAAGACAAACTTTTTAACACAAGGGGCACACGCACTAGGGGACACAGGTGGAAATTGAGTGCCCAAATGAGCCATAGAGACGTTAGAAAGAATTTTTTCAGTGTCAAAGTAATAGACAAATGGAATGCATTTGAAAGTGATGTGGTAGAGGCTGACTCCATACACAGCTTCAAGTGTAGATATGATAGAGCCCAGTAGGCTCAGGAACCTGTACATTAGTCGATTGACCGTTGAGAGGCGGGACCAAAGAGCTAGAGCTCAGCCCCCGCAAGCACAATTAGGTAAGTACCAGTTGATTGACAGTTGAGAGGTGGGACCAAAGAGCCAGAGCTCAACCCCCGCAAGCACAAATAGGTGAGTATAAGTGGTACATACAGCCAAGCTGACAACATTCATGATTCGCAGTCCGTGAACAATCCACAAGCTAACAACAAATGGGTAGTTTCTTTCACCTAATGCACCTTTTAGAAATATTACGCTTTATGCATGACTAGGATGCAGCTACTGTGAGTTGCATCCTGGCAATGTGTGCTTAATCACTGTACTGTGTAGCTGTAAAATGTGACTAGTCCTGGGTGTGCAGAAAAATAATTATTCTGGGTGTGCAGAAAAATAATTATTCCCCCAATTAAAACAAAAAAAATTGTATGTAACATACTTTGGTTGTAATGGAATAAGAAAGTGTGGAAATATTTACTTGCTGAGAGAGGACACGCCAGTGGCAGTGTGCTCAGCCGAGCAGTGAGGTGGGGGCTGCCGTAAACACATTTTTACATAATTATTTAACTGTTTTTCAATTATTATATCTCTAGTTTTTTTTGCAGTAATATTAATGAAAAGTGTGTAATTTGAGAAATTTATACAGTTAAATGTGTGGAACATTGCTATGCTCAAAAATGAGCTTATGATATGTATATTGTCATAAAATATTGTCTGCCAGCCAATAAGACTCCAGCACCCAATATCACAGCCAATATGAAGAAGACCTAAATGCAAAAATAGGCAAGATCCAACAGTGAGGCATAAACTGGGTCATGCAGGGGGCTCCTAAAAAGTGCCATATGCTGTAGGAGGGACCCGAGAGGCAGGAACCCTTGGGAGGACGATCCTGAAGACCCAAAGGCATGTGGAAACGAACCCTGGGGAAAGAAGCACTCGAACCATGTGCACACATGTTTTACACATGATAAAAAACCAGCGTTGAATGTAATGAAACGCCATTTTCTGGGTGAGCCCCGGAGGCTCCCTGGAGCTTATCAGGCTAATGTATGTTATATTAGATCGGGACATTAGCTATGGAGTTCAGACCTACCAGGGACCAGCGCCAGAACCTGGCCCCTTAAGAGAGGTTTCAGGGAGCAATGGCCCTGGAAAACCCCATATGGTTGGGGGTTTTCCTTATCTGCCATCGACCAGGGTTAGGCACCCAGAAAGGTAGGCGTAACAAAACAAACCCCACATGGTAAGAAACTACAACAAAAACCGAACAGAGAGGTAGAAAACTCCCTACAATCCCAAGGAAAACAATCAAACAATCAATTTACTGCCACGCCTGTTGTCCGCGCAGCCCTCCCCTCCCCGGACCTCACCACGCTGGCTGCCGTCAGTTCGGAAACTAGGCTTCAACCAACGCGAAAAATCCCGCCGACCGGATGGGAGGGAGGGTAGCCAGGGAGCCTCCGGGGCTCACCCAGAAAATGGCGTTTCATTACATTCAACGCTGGTTTTCTGTAGGGGGCCCCTACGGCTCCCTGGAGCTACATACCCAAAGAGAAGGAAAAAACCAGCGTTGAATGTAATGAAACGCCCTTTTCTGGGTGAGCCCCGGAGGCTCCCTGGAGCTTATCGGGCTAATGTATGTTATGTTAGACCGGGACATTAGCTAAGGAGTTCAGACCTACCAGGGACCAGCGCCAGAACCTGGCCCCTTCAGAGAGGTTTCAGGGAGCAATGGCCCTGGAAAACCCCATATGGTTGGGGGTTTTCCTTATCTGCCATCGACCGGGGTTAGGCACCCAGAAAGGTAGGCGTAACAAAACAAACCCCACATGGTAAGAAACTACAACAAAAACCGAACAGAGAGGTAGAAAACTCCCTACAATCCCAAGGAAACAAGCAAACAAGCAAACATCACACTTTACTGCCGCGCCGATCGTCCGCGCAGCCCTCCCCACCCCGGGAGGGGGAGGGGGGAGCCCCGGACCTACCGCGCCGGCTGCCAAGCTCCAGTTCGGAAGCTAAGCTTCAACCAACGCGAAAAAACCGCCGACCGGTGGGAGGGAGGGTTTCCAGGGAGCCTCCGGGGCTCACCCAGAAAATGGCGTTTCATTACATTCAACGCTGGTTTTCTGTGGGGAGCCCCTACGGCTCCCTGGAGCTTCATACCCAAAGAGAAGGAAAAGAAAGGGCTAACCCGGGAGGCGGCCGCCACAAACTCTGCAACGCAAAGCCAAGACAACCGGTCGCAAACCTGCGACCCAAGGCAACAAGAACGCCCAAGAACAGACGCACATATGGATGGGCGGCCAAAAACCTGTGCGACCCACAAATCCCTGCGCCCGAAATGAGCCC